GCTTCCGGATTTGGCTCGATGCCCTCGAGGTAGTCGCAGAGAATCGACGACGAATTGTACATCGCTTGGCGTGAAAGCGAGTGCTGTTTCAGCAGCGTCCAGTGCGCACAGTTCCAGACGTGGTCCCAGAGGGTGACGACCGCGAGGTTGAGCAGCATGCCGAGGACCACCGAGCCTGCGACGCGCATGTAAAAGCTGTTGAAAAAGTCGACGCGAATGCCGTCGATCTTCTCAAACGAGTTGCGGAGGTCGGTCGACACCGAGTTGTTGTAGTCCATGAACGGCGGGACGTACGCGAGCAGAATGGCGCTGAGGTAGAGCGACAAGACGCTCGACCAGTTGAGGGCGCCCATGAGCGCGCTCTGGCCATTGAACGAGACCGTCCCGAGGAGGTTCAAGCACTTTTTGCAGATCTTGAGAACCGCGCAGTTGACCCAGAGGAAGCGCATGCTGCAGCAAAAGAGCTGCAGCGAGTAGAGTGGCGTCGGACTCAGATTGTTGTACAGATTGACGCTGCGGATAAAGACAAAGCAGTTTTGAATGTCGAGGAGGACGCTCAACGCGTAGCTAAACACAAAGATGTCCGAGTTGAAGCAAAACATATCGAAGCGCAGCGCGTGAGAGGCCTGGGGATAGTACTTGGGCGCGACCGTGCGAAGGACGCGCGAGATGAACCCCTCGGCCGCGTCGAGCCACTGCACGGTCCGGCGGCTCGCGAGGTACCCGCCGACCCCAAAGAAGATACCAACGAGCTTGACATAGACGGACGCGATGCTGCCAAAGTTGCTGCGCAGCATGAGCCCGAGTGTGTACGTCGATCCGTCCACATACGAACTCGCCTTGACCGTGATGCTTTTGGCGCTGTCGTTGTACAGAAACGTCATGTTGCAGACGCTGTACCCGAGGTCCGCGACCGGGTCGCAGAGCGTGCAGAACGTGCGCGGGAAGATCCGAAAGTAGTTGACGAGCTGCGTCTGGGGCAGCGTAGTGTTGAGAATCGCAATGTCTCGCGTGAAGCGCATGTCGACGTAATTGCGCCCGGGGACGTAGCCCAAGGCCGCGATCTGGTCGCTGCGCATGGTCGAGTTGGCCAAATTGGCCGTCTTCCCGTCCGAGAAGGCGTTCGTGATCGCATTGCCGCGGTAGTAGGTGATGGCGCCCGAGGCGAGCGCGAGGCGAGCACTCGTGGTCGTTGGCGTCCATCTGAACGAGTACGTCTGCTGGAAGATGGGGCAGAGCACCGTGTCGGGCGTGAGCGGGTACACGCCGGACGCGACAAGGTAAATGTCGTCGGCCTTGGTGCTGATCTTGTGCACTGTCGTGTTGGCCATCCAAAACCCAACGTTCGAGAGAGTCCCGACGGTGAGGCCTCGCGCAAACGAGTACTGGCGACTGAGCTGCGGAAGAAACTGCGCCGAGGCCACCGGCGTCGCAAGAAAGTACGCGCCCCCGAGGTAGTTGTTGAGCGCCCAGTTGTTGACGACGGCGTCCGCGACCAGAATTGCGATCGCGAGGACGCCGGTCGCGGCCAGGGCAAACGCATACGCCTGGCGCGCATGCACAGACCACTGGTGTTGCGCCGGCAGCGCCTCGAAGACCTCGGTGAGCCGACGCTGCATCCCACAAACTACGGAAATTTGGCGGGACCGGTCGGGTGAAACCTCCACGAAAACGAACCCCCTATTTTTACCCCCTCCAAGCCAACCCGATTTACGTATATTTACGACTTGTCGGCCGAGTAGAGGGCGACGAGCGAGTCGGTAGCGCCGGCCGCGAGGAGGAGGCGGTGCGGGTGGAACGCGAGGCACGACACCGGGCCGATGCGCTAGAGACTCAACCTCAATTGAAAAATTTGGTTTGAGAAAAATACCTCGCCAAGAAAGCCTTCGTGGTACCGGATGAGCGCCATTTGCTCGCCGTCGTGGCGAAACACCTTGATAAATTGATTGTGCGACCCACTACACATCGACTATCAACTTGATACGAGAGCGCAAAGTGCACCTCGCAAAGAGCGGCGCGTAGTTGTGGACGCTGAGCGCCGTCATCGGCGACCGGTGCGCCTCGAGCGTCTTGACGCTCACCTTTTGGTGGCGCAAATCCCAAAACTTGAGCTCGCCCGTGACGCTGCCCGAGAGCAACTCGTACTTGGTCGCGTACAAATGCGTCCCTACGAGTATTCGCAAAAAATGAGAAAAATACGAAAAATCAGAAAAAATACGAACGCACCCACGATCCACGACGTGTGCTCGCGCAAAATGGCCTTGACGTCCGACTTGGCGCGCGGGTCGTAGAGACGCAGCGTGCCGTCGCCGCAGCCGGCCACGACAAGTCCTAGTGCAGTGTTTAGTGCGTGTCGAAATTAGTGTCAACGCACCCCCAATGGCCTCGTCGGTCGCCATGGTCGTCACACACGAGTCGGTCTGCGTCGGCGCCTACAGACGGTTGAGATTTGGACGACGTGATCGCTCAGACTTGGTAGACGCAGCGCTCCTGCTGGAGGTCCCAGCCGCGCACGACGCTCGAGTTGCCGGCGGCGAAGAGCAAGCCGGCTTGCTGCTGCCACGCCGTCACCAGACCCGACCCTCGCGTGCCCGGGACAAGGTCCGGCACGGCCGTAAAGGCGAGCGCGAGCTGCGGCTTGGTCTCGACCTACGAGAATTCTCAATCGCAACTCAAAATCGCAAGGAAACTCAATAAGAATACGTCGTGGTAGAGCTTGACGACGCCGTCGTCGGACGCGCAGTAGAGCAGCGCGCGGTCGTCCTCGTTGATCCACCCGACGGCCGTGAGACGCGACCCGCGCGGGTTCAGATTCGCAAACGAGTGGCAGCGCTCGCTGTTGTCGACGTTCCACACACTCAACTGGTCGGTCGCGTCGGCCACGACGAGCAAGCTGCATGGAGAGTTCTCAATTGAGTTTGAAGTGAATCTCAACAGCGCAAACGCACCTCGCGTACGGGTGGAACACGAGGAGCGACGTCATGTCCGAGTCCGTGTTGAGAAGTGCGCTCTGGCGCAAGTTGAGCGAGTACCCTGCGAGCTCTAAAAATCGAGAACTTGTTGAGTTTCAGATGTGGAATTTGGCACAGCGTACGCTCTTCCTTTTCGACTCGGAGCTGCGACGCGAGGAGCTTCCAGCGGGCGTTCCGGCGCTGCCGCTCGAGCCGAACAGCACCTACGCGCGCTCAGACGCCATGTGCGCATATATGCAGCGTACCTTGGGCGCTCAGTGGGTCGAGCTCGTCGTCCTCATGGCTGTCGACCGACTCGAGGAGCGGCCGGTTGAACTTGGCGCACGCCCAGCGGTACAAAGAGCTCACGAGCGCATCCGGAAGCCGGTGGACCTCGGGCCTACCATCGTCAACGTTTGAGTTTGCTTTGAGATTCACTTTTGTCGTACACGGGCGTCTCGAGACCGCCAAAGTTACCCAAGGACGAGTGTTGGGAAGCGAGGACGCTGGGCTTGGGCGGGCGACCGGCGACGACGCGGCCGTTGGCCGTTGCCATGCTCGGGAGTGAGTTGTCACGGTGCAGTCGGCCGTGCGACGGAGAGAGCGTGTGCCCGAGGGCGCCCGTGTTGACGCGCGACACGATCATCTTGACGAGCGGCCGCAGCGGCGTGAACGGGTCGTGCTGCTGCATCTCCTTGAGTGCGTGCCACACCTTGGTGTAGTGTGGCGCCTGGGGCCCCAGCCCTGCACGTTCGAAGACATCAATAGGGGTAGGGGACCATGCAAAACGTACCCGCGATGGCGTCTGGCACGGCGTCCGTCTTGCGCGTGTGCTGGGCGAGGTGTTCAAAGGGCGGCTGGTAGTGCGGGTGGAGCACGAGGTGCGCGAGCGCCAGAATCGTTTCCTTGCGCACGAGCGGCGACGCGTCCGAGAGCGCTGGCACGAGGCAGTCGCTTGCGATGGGCAGATCCAGCGACGGGTGGTGGCCTAATTCGCATACGAACGTGAACTGCGCGCACGTGGAAACGCGTGTACCGAGGAGCGTGCCGAGCGCAAAGACGGCCGATGCGCGCACTTCCGGCGCTGCGTCGGTTTGCGCGACCTTGTGCAAGTGCAAGTGGACCTTGTCTTCGAGAGCCGACGCTTTCGCCGGCTCGAATGCCTCCCAGGCTTTGCCCAGCGCCAAGCACGCCCTAGTTCCACATAGCAAACGGTGTTATAGAAAAAGAGCTAGGTACCACTGGCGGACGTGCGGGTGCGGGTCGGCCAAGAACAAGGTGACGCGCTTGAGGAGGCCGTTCTGGAGACACGCCTGCTGCCCCGTCGCGTACTCGTGGCAGAGCACCGAGAGCACAAAGAGCGTCATGGCCTTCTGGTCAGGCGGCAGAAGCGGTGTCATGAGGTGGTTCAGAAAGTACTGCTGGCCGTCGATCTTGACCAAGTCGGCTTGGCACGACATGTCCAACGCGACAATTTTGGCCTAATTTTCACCCTCAACCATCAAAGTATCAACGTATCAAGAGTTCTACCCAGACAAACACAAGCACGTGGCGGAGTTCGGGCGCGGGCGACTGCAGAAGGCGCTCGACGTACGGGAAGATGCCGACTGACAAGGTGAGGTTCACAGCGTGCGGGCCAAGGTCGAAGAACTGCGTCAAGAGCACGAGCGCGCGCACGCGCAGCGCTTGGTTGAGCAGCATTTGCAGAATGATCGGCAGCTGCTGCGGCGGCGGCTTGGATTTCGAGCCAAACGCGAGCCAGACTTCGAACGCCATGAGCTGCTCGGCAAAGAAGCGCGAGTGGTGGAACGTAATCTCTTGCGGAATACTTGGCGGCGAGAGCACGGCCTGGAGCTGCGAGAGGCACGTCTCGGCCGCGAGGTCCTAACGCTATTTTGTCAGTCGTCATTCTTAGAAGCCGCGCAAGAGTACCCAGCTGCGCCACAGCGGGTGGTGGGCCGTCGAGGGCAGTGCGGGCAGCGAGCACGGCGTGCACCCTACGTCGATATCAAGCAACGGACGCCATTCGCATCTCTACCGAGCGTCGTCATGATGCGCTCGGCCAGCAAAAAGTTGCGGAAGAGCGACGCGACGAGGAGGTCTTGGCGAAAGAGCGTTTGAAAGAGCGGCGCGGGAAGGAGGTTCCACGCGATCGTGTCCGTGATGGCCGTGAAGATCCAGTTGAGCTCGCCCAGCGGCGTCTTGCGGTCCGTGAGCTTGCCTAAACATAAAAGTATAGTCCTTTATCCAAACGCTGATGAGCTACCTGGGATGCGGTCGATCACGCTCGGCTCCAAATGGCCCATGCTACGCTCGTTCTACAAGGGCACAGAGTAGCAAGCAGCTCGCTTCGACAGTTGAGGTTACCTGCGAGAGGAACCAGCGGAGGGCGACTGTGATCGGTGTCGTGAGGCAGCTGGTAAAGACGTCCGCGCACATGTCGGGGTGCATCGGGAGGATCTCATCGGGACCGCAGGCCGCGAGCACGAACGCGTCCGTGGCCGTGCTAAAGTGCTGGAGCAGCGTGCCGGCGGCCGAGCAGTCAAAGACATAGACGGACGGCGTGCCGACCCACGCCTGCAGCTCGTACACGAGCAGCGGGATGTACTGCGTGTAGCTCTTGTTGAAGACCCAGATCTCGCCGTTGGGCGTCGGGCGGGGCACGCCATGGCCGTTGTAGTGGAAGAGGACGCGGTCGTGCTTGGCGTGGCGCCGCAACGAGACGCAGAGCTGCTTGATCTCGTCGACGGTCGGGTCCAGCGACTGCCGGTACCGCGCGCGCGGCTGCCAGCGCTCGTACTGCGACTGCAGCGTCTTGCCTAAAGCGCTCGTCAAGACAACTGCGGCGAGAGAAATCACGCACCGATGGTTTCGAGGGCCTTCAGCGCCGGCATCGAGAAGGGCTCGACCCAGCACTCCTTGCGCGCGCAGGGCGTCGGCTTGGCGATGTCGGGCGGGTCGGTGCCAATGTTGAGGCAGAGAACGAGCGCGACGTCCATCGTCTTGAGGCGGGGCGTGCCCATGCGCCAGGGCTGGATCGCGACCGTCGCCTCGTCGTCCTCGTCGTCCGCAGCGCCCCAGAGCATCTTGCTCAGATGGCGGTCTTCCATGACGTACGGCCGCTTCGTCGTGGGCTCCTCGGGCGCCGGAGGTCGCAGCGTCGGCGCGAAGAGGCCCGTCGGCGGGTGCACCGGCGGAGGGAACGCTGGTCGCATGACGGTGATATCCGCTTGCTTGGTCACACAACCGGAATCGAAAGGCAATCTGGCTAATCACACCCAACCGAATCCCGTGGGACTGCCTCGTCCATCTTCGATGGCAGCTTTGGTATCGTCGTCGCCAAGTTCTTCTCATCGAGTACGCCAGTACGATAGTAGGTTAGTTAGTTGCAAGCAAATAAGAACGTATTCCCATGGTTATTTAGTTGGTCGCTAGTTTATGTGTACCGCAATGTCATGAGCTTCGATCCGAGGCGACGCGTACTGGCCCTCCTTCTACTAGCACCTTGTTGTCACGACCCGCTCGAGGCTTTGGATGTCAGAGAGGGCAGAAGATTCTCCGCGGTTGAGCCGGTCACTGAGAGAGCGATAACCGATCGCAACCGACTTTGCTGCATCGACGCGCTCAACTGCAAAAGACAAAGAAGAAGAAAACGCGCGGGATATTCATAGTTTGGGATAATCCCTTATGCTCGACGCCGCGCAGTTCTCGACTCCGCGGGGCGCCGCGCGGCGTGTCGGGTCCCTCAGTCAAGGACCGCCTCCGGGGCCCACCGACCACCGGTTCACGTCCCCGAGAGGGTCCGCCCCGTCCTTCCGAGTCCCGTCGCCGGTTGTCGGCCACGAACCTGTCTTGTACTCGTCGGACGAGAGCGACGAGACCCCGACCCGGCGACCGTCGCTGGTCAAGACGTCGGACGTCTTTTCACTCACGCGCCACAACCGCTTTGAGCAGGTGGAGGCGATGTTAGCGAAGGGCCTTTCCGTCAACCTCCAAGATGCCTACGGTAACTCGCTCCTCATCATTGCGTGCCAGAACGGTCTCAAGCGGCTCGCCAAGATGCTCCTCCGGCGCGGCGCCAACATCAACCTCCAAAACGTACCCTTTCCACTCCGTACGTTACTGTACAACTAAGATCCTAGGCGCGGGGCAACACACCGCTGCACTACTGCTTTGCCTACGGGTACGGCGAAACCCTCGGCGCCTACTTGATCTCAAAAGGCGCCGACGTGACGTTGCGCAACGAAGACGGCCTCGAGTGCTACTACGGCATCAAGCCGCCCGTTCTGTAGCCCTTGGTAAAATAGAAACCCTTGCCCCACATCAATGTCCTTGCCCCACATCAATTCCCTTGCCCCACATCGAGTGGCTGCGTCATCTCCGGCCTTTGGCGTCGCAATACGTTGGCTTGCGCGCAATCGCTGGGATTACCGCACTGGTTGCCGTCAAGAGCTCCACTGGATAATGGGCCATAAACCGCGTGATTGCTCGGCCTAAGATCGACGCCATCTGAGATGGGTCCGTGACGACCGACCTACAGTGGCTGCAAAGATACCAGCGCAGACAGCAGATATCGGTCGATTGCATAGATCTGCCACGGTGTCCTTGAGGAATTCATCCAGTTTTGTCTATTGACTAGAATTTATTCCCTGTGCCGATGCCGTCAAGGGCAAAGTCGCACGAAGCCACGCTGTAAGCTCTCGTACCGCCAACGCCAAATCTTACGCACCGTCGTCACGCGTTCGAGCGTCGGTCATCTGGCGGTCGTCCAGACGTCACGGGATCCCGCGTCGAATTTGGTGAGCGCGTCTGCCCCAACGTGCCCCGTCAACGAGCAAGTCGCGCGCTGATTGGTTCGTTTTTGGAGCAACGGATAATGCGCGCGTCTGATTGGCTGTTGCAAAGGGCATGGGTCGGCCCTCGAGATGACATCACATGCGAAGGGCGCAAAAATGCTACGCGGTGCTAAAGCAACGTGCAAGCGCTGCGATCTTGTCCTCGGATCTCACTCTGCCATTCGCCTCACGGAGCGCAAGACCATCCTCTCTACCATGGCGATCGCGTGGAAGCAGCACATCCAGAACGCCAACTGGCCCATGGTCTTCTACCTCACCTTTTGCCACGCGCTCGCTATCGTCGGGCTCGTCGCGATCCCGCAGTGCTCGTGGCAGACGCTCGCGTTCACGTTCGTGCTCGCCGAGCTCTCGGGTCTCGGCATCACGGGCGGTGCCCACCGGCTGTGGAGCCACCGCGCGTTCAAGGCGCACTGGACCGTCCGCGTCTTCCTCATGCTCTGCAACATGGTCGCCAACCAGGGGACTGTCTACCACTGGAGCCGCGACCACCGCGTGCACCACAAGTACTCCGAGTCGGAAGCCGACCCGCACAACGCGCTCCGCGGCATGTTCTTTGCGCACATTGGCTGGCTCCTCGTCAAGAAGGACCCGAAGGTGATCGAGGCCGGCAACAAGATGAAGTACGACGACCTGCTTGAGCTCTTTGAGATCCGGTGGCAGATGGCCATCAACCCGTGGGGCAACCTCTTCATGAGCTTTGGCTTCCCGATGCTCGTGTGCCACTACTGGTTCGGCGAGTCGCTCTGGAACGGGCTCATGGTCGCTGGCTTCCTCCGCTACGTCGTCATCCTCCACTGCACGTGGCTCGTCAACTCGGCGGCCCACTTTTACGGCGAGACGCCGTACGACCCCAAGATCCACCCGACCGAGAACGCGATCGTCGCGCTGCTTGCGATCGGCGAGGGCTGGCACAACTGGCACCACGTCTTCCCGTACGACTACGCAGCCAGCGAGTTTGGCATCGCGTCGCAGTACAACCCGACCAAGCTCTTCATCGACATTTGCGCCTACGTCGGCCTCGTCACGAACCGGAAGCGCGCGCTCAAGGCGTGGGAGGCGCGGCGCGCGAAGCGCGAGACCGTCGACGCGTTCGACATCCCGGACGGCTACGAGCTCAAGGAGGGCGAGTGCGAGGACGCGGCGCCCAAGGCCAAGGCCGCGTAAACCCGATATGTTCTCCTTTTGTACTACTTCTATATCGAGACTGCTTCTTGCAGCGGTAATATACACACAAACTCATTCGTTGTCGCGTCGACTACGAAGCATCGCTGTGACGACTCTGGTCTCTTGCCTGTTAGAGTCCTATTTCGCAGGATCAAGTTGGGGAATATGCCTATTTTCGACCTCGTACTAGGCACTGGTCATGGTCGATGCGATGTCGAGTGCGGTCGGTGGCACCAGTACAAGGCGGCGACCGACGCCGTCCTCAAGGGGCTCCAGAAGGCAAGCGGCGCCAAGAAGGCCAAGGCGGCGGCGTGGACCACCGGTCACATCTACGCGGCGGCTCTCGCCGTGGCGACCAAGAAGACGCCAGTGCCAGCACACGGCCTTCGCGCTCTTACCACGAGCATCCGCCCCCGCTGGCGCGCGGCGCGGTCACTGCCGCGTGACGAGGGTCACATGCTTTCTGAACCTGCTCCGCGCCATCCAAGCCAGGCTCGCGCCGCTGGCCACGACGCGCCGGCGCAGCCCGCGCCTCGACATTGCCTTTGACGCTCTCGTGATCGACGACGATGACAAAGACAATGACGGTAACGACGATGACCATGATGACATGCCGCCGTTCGACGTCGCGCAGTACACGGTGCCTGCCGCGAGCCCGACGCCTGACGAGGCAGCCCGCGACGCCCGACTCGCAGACTACGAGGCCGCCCAGTTTCGCGCCGCCTGCTGCTTTATGGATATGGACGAGCTCATGAGCGACGTCGTGGCTGCGTGGACCGCCGTCAAGCAGCAGCAATCGTCGCTTGTCGCCGCGACGGCCGTCACCAACCACTGCGTCCGCGTCGCCGACGCGCTGGCGTCCGAGCTCACGCTGGAGCTGCCCTTCTTGACGCAACTCGGCGCCATGAGCTTTCTCGCCGACAACAGCGAGGCGCTTCGGACGCTCGTGTTGGAGCACGCCGTGCCGCTGGCCGAGGCCGTCGCCTTTATCAACACGCTGCAGCACAACCTCGCCAAGCCCGAGCCGATCCCAAACCACGAAGCAGAAAAAGTGGCGTCTACGTCGCTCGGTGTGCCACGTCGGACGCCGCCGCCCTCGTGGCCCTTGTGTGGCGCGACGCCCGGACGCACACTGCGGGACTGGCATGGACGCGCCATCTCGACGACCTCGTCACGATCGAGCGCGGGCTCCTTCCTTGCGCCAACAGGCAGTACCTGAATACGGGCTTGCCAATCCCCGAGTTTGCGACCTTGTGAGACCGAGACGTGTGCGCCCGCGACCTTGTACTAGTATCAGCAGCGAAAGACGTTTATGTTGGTGTCGATTGGGGCGATGATGCGCGGGTAGTGCCAATGGGGCTTCATGCACCAAAGCCACTTGATGCCGTTTCTTCCAAGCTGAAGCCTGCGTCTTTCGTCGCGAGGTCTCGGTCGGTCTCTCGTTTGGCGCGCTCTGCATCATTGTGTCGGTGGCTGCGCTCCGCGGCCCAAGCACCGACGCGGTGCATTGCGCCACGATCGCTGCCGAGACCGCCACGGCGCTCAAGACCATGTACAGGCGCGCGCTCACGCAGGCTAAAGTACGCGGCGACGGGCACCTCCATCGCGCCCTAAAGCCCATCTTCTGGGACAAAGCCGAGTTCCTCAAGCGCGCTTTGTGCGAGACCGTTCTGCGTCACCGAGTTGCTCCCTGTCGTGCACTTCAGCCCGTACTTGGCGGGCCAGCACCTTCTCGCGCTCACCGCCTCGTTCGGGTCCGTCGTTGTTTCTCAACGATGTGGGCCAAGAGCTGTTTGTGCTGCACGCGTACAACGCACTGCGCGTCCTCGGTCGATCGCGGACCTCGACCACCTCGTATCGCTCCTCGACTCGGACAAGGTCTTTTGGCCCCCGCGAGCGCGGTGAGTTCATGAAGTCGTACGCGCTTGCTTTCGGTGTCGATGAAGGACGCGGCAGAGATCTCGGCCGGCACGGCCGAAGCCATGAGCGGCGGCAATAGGCGCTACAAGGCTCATTGTCCAAGCACGACCGCCGGACCAAGCTCCAGAAGGCTCAACAAAGCAACATGCGACGCAAGGTCACCCTGGAGAGCGCCACGTATTCCCAGCTGGCTGGCCACGCGCCGCTCCCGAGACGGTCGTCGTCGCCGATCCCAGACATGACTGCGATTCGCAACATCGTCGACGACGAGTGGCGGCAGTTCCTCAACATCGACCGCAACCAAGTCGGCCTCGTGTTTCGAGCTATGTACTTTGAGGCGGTCGCCGTCTTGGGCTACCGGCCCACAAAGTCGTCGCGCTGCGACCCGAGCCTCCCCGAGTCTCGCACCAACAACCCGCATTCGGACATGATGACGTGTGCGAGCGGGCTCTTCATGCTAGTATGCTGCGACGGGTCCCCCGACTCGCCCGAGCTCAGGAAGGTCGCCAACATCCTCTTGGCCCACGCGCCGAGGCTTCGCGACACGGCGATCGTTCCCGGCGTCGACCGTAAAACGAGTTGACTCAGTTAAAATACACTTCTCTTGATGTTAATAAAGAACCGGGCTGGGCCAAATGCGCACTGGCAGGGGAAATATATACCTTCGTGAAGGTGGCAACACTGCGAGGTCGTATCAAAGCTTGTGCGCTGTGCTAACATCGGCCGGCTCGTGCAGGCGACTGTGCCATGTGAAGTCACGCAAGGTAGTGTTAAATAACGACATGTTGAGGAGAGTAGACTGGTTGACGATAGTTAGATCGGATCGCTACCAAAGTCTAACAAGATTCCCTTCCATCGTAGCCGAGAAGTTGGTTTAGTAGAAGAAACCAATGACCTTGCCACCCGTGTGCTTGCGGCGGGCTTCGTTGTGGTCCATGATGCCGTACGTCGTCGAGAGGACGATGTGGCCGAACTGGCGCGACGGGAGGAGGTTGTTGATCCACTTCTCCATGTCCTGGAGCTTGATGTCGAAGCGGGGCGAGATGACACCGCACTTGTTGATGCGGCCGCGGAGCTCGACGACGATCTTGCCGGCGCGGTGGTCGTCGACGATCTCGAATTCGCCAATGTAGCCGTTCTTCTGCATGCACTGGAGGAACTTGACGATGACCTTGGACGACGGGCGGATCAACACCTGGCGCTTGCCGCGCTTTTCGGCGTTGTACATCGTCTTAAGACAATCGGCGAGGACGGACATGCGAACCATGCTACGTAGACGAGGATTAGCCCTCCAGTTCGGCGCCAAGGTCGGGGGTCGCGCGACCGCCCGCCTCCATAGATTGCCCCGCGGGCCATGCCATGGTACGTAGCCCATGGCCATGGCCGCGGAGCATCTCTTCTGCCCGTGGCAGGAGTCGCATGAAGACGTACGTGGAAGACTTGTTGAAAGGGAATTCAAAAATGAAAGCAGCGACTGGCCACCATCCCATTGGTCGTGGATCACCAGCAATTCCAAGCGGCGTCTGATTGGCTGCCAAAAATCGAGTCTCACAGGTCTATCCTCGCACAACCCATATTTCGACTCACTTGTGGATTGTATGGTATACGTTTGCAGAGTCTAAACAGAGTTTCTGAGTTGGCGCGCAAAATCCAACCAGTCGCAGGAACGACTAGAGCGTTGATAATGGTACGTTGGCTACTGAGGACGACTAGTAGGTCTGGGCGAGACCACAAAGGTCTTGTGGAAGAAGACGTGTTTGAAATGACGTCGCTGCTGCAACCAACGTTAACATTGTTAGTGAATATGAGTAGAGTATACGAATTCACGAATGTACTATGAGCGAGTCCAATCGTGTACTAGTGCGATGGTTATGTCGTAATAGACGCGACGGCGTCAGTGGATGCAATGCACGAGCTCTCGCAGTCGACGGCAGCAAACTGCACGAGGAGGAGGACGCTTGCTTCAACGCCGGGGGCGACGTCGAGGTAGCTGCCGTCAACGCCGGCGGCCGGCGGGCGGATCTTGGCCACGGCGGTGTCGTCGCACGTGATGAGAAGCTGCGTGTCCCAGTCGCCTCGACAGAC